GCACTAGTTACATAACTCTAATGTCGTGCAGTATCCAATGAGAAGCGTTATTTAGCACTAGTTACATAACTCTAATGTCGTGCAGTATCCAATGAGAAGCGTTATTTAGCACTAGTTACATAACTCTGATGTCGTGCAGTATCCAATGAGAAGCGTTATTTAGCACTAGTTACATAACTCTGATGTCGTGCAGTATCCAATGAGAAGCGTTATTTAGCACTAGTTACATAACTCTAATGTCGTACAGTATCCAATGAGAAGCGTAATTTAGTGGCTTCATAAGTTCTTGAAAGTGTACGTAATTAGTGTAAAACGCGCTCAAGAATATAATACCTCTTGAAATGACACAATAGTGTCCTGTGTGAAACGTTGTTCACTGACGTATTGAACATGATACAGTACTGATTGCGAAACAAATTATGGAATGTATGTAACATTTTAAAATGGTAGTTAATACAGTGAAAATATAGTACAATATTTCTTATCAAAATGGTACAGTATTCAATGTTGTACAGAGATAATATAACCCTTTGAAATAATACAGTATCCATGTAAAATATCACGCAGAGGTTAACTAACCCTCATTTGAATTCGGCCTCTCAGTGGACTTGCAACGCTATAAACCGGGTTTCGATACCCGTGGTGAGCAGAGCACAGATAGCCCATTGTGTAGCTTTGTGCTTAATTCCAAACAAACAAACAAAAAACTGTTTCAATCACAGTATTTTTAAAATAAACTACGACCAGCAACAACGTGTCTGAAATCAAGAAACAACACCGTTTTCGTAATTATTACTGCCCCCCTGTGGCACAGCGATATGTCTGCGGACTTACAACGCTAGAATCCAGGTTTCGATACCCGTGATGGGCAGAGCACAGATAGCCCATTGTGTAGCTTAGTGCTTAATTACAATCAATCGTAATTATTACCCGTCAGCTTTCAATGTAATTATTAATGTGTTTATCGTTAGAGGAGCACAGTAAGACTAGTTTTTTTATACATAAAACTGTTGTGCATATTTACTGGGCGAAGTTACGGGTAAAGCTGACAAAACAAGGGTTATTAAGTTACATATTTCATATCACTTGATTGTGGTTGAGGCAAACATTTTGTAAATACGTTGTTCAATGTTAAATTAACAAAAATATATTTTAGTTCAACACTTCTGTCTAATATTTTGTATAGATCAATATGGGACAACACCAGCCAGAGATGGAATTTTTTTAGAAATAAACGTTAGGTTTATATTTCATCAAATATTAACTCTCAACAACAACAACAAAATGTAAAACTTGATGTAAAGTGTAAGTTGAGTAATAACGGACTTTGATGTTAGTGTCTTAAATGGTTTGGATTCAAAGCTAAGTAAATTTTAAATACGCTCTGAACTGGTGTAAAAATAACTCTTTATCTCGAGTAAATACATTTTGAATGAAAGTGACATTTACATCACTAATAAAGGAAAGAACAAGAAAAAGAATATGAGATTTGGATGTTGCTTGTTTTATTTACCCTGAGATCTTTTCACATTAAAACACTGTACAGAAGACTTTCCATATGTGAATTATGTAGTCTGATTTATTTATTCAGTTGTAAATGTCCATCCAGAGATATTTGGGTGTGACTTGAGGAGATAACCAGCTTTGTTATTTACTCGGTCATCAAAGTCAGCTGATTGTACCAAAATATCTGATCAAAACGAAATAAATTACTGTGTTGTTTATTAGGTTTTGACATTAATTCATTGGTTGTTCTTAAACACTTATTAATGTATAAACAAAAGAAGTGAACCACAGTAAATATTTTAGCGTCTCTTTTCATGCACTACAGAATGATCTAGTGTCGTAGACTACTCACCGTCTTCCTGGGCCCACTCTAGTATTGATTGTAGGTTCGTATAATTATCTTTTGAGGATTTACAGTTCTCGTATAAAACTTTCCCGTTTACACCCAGAGTTCCATAGTTCGCTTTCACTCCGCATAAAAAGGCAGTCGCTGTGTTTGCAGAATCAGAGGTCTGTTTGTCTAAAGCATAAGTCTAAAGGAAAGCAATGCCATAAACAATTATCAAAAGAATCATTCAACCATTAGTAACACATATTCAATACTTAATTCTAATGAGTGTTTATCATGCTTCTGAATAATAAGCTTATATTAACTTAGTCCCAAGTGAAGCGTAATTCAAACAAATATGGCTTAGGGTAAGCGCAGCCATTGATATTGTTATAAGCTATATTTTTAATGTTGTAATTTAGAAATCAGCTATACGAAGCTGCGGGTCGTAAATGATGATATTAAGATAGGCCAAGAAAGTTCTAAAGATTTAGTGTCAAGTATTTTAATACATTTGAAATTAGGTTATAAATACGGAATAGTTTTCAAGAATAAAGTGAGTTGAAAAATAGTCAAAGGTGGAGCTGTGAGAAAACAGCACGTGAATCAGATAGTGTGTTTTCTTGAAGTGTACAGATAAGTTCATTTTTACGTTTGTCCTAGTACTGTTTCGATATCATACTGAAACGTCGAAATTCCCGCGCATTCTTGGCTCGCGCCCGAATCTTTTAAATACCTAGCGACGATTCTGTAATGAAAGAACAATGTTACAACACTATTGCCACTTTTGTTTGTGTGGACCATTAACATTGGACCTATTTGATAAAAAGAATAGAAGCAAAATTTAAAGTATTTTTATTTAAGCAGTGTGCAAGAAAGTAGCCACCTTAGCTAATGATTAGACAAAGAAAAGCAGATTTACTATTAGTAAGTCCAGCACGATGAATATTTTATATACAATAAATGTAGGCCTAAAGCAGAAACTAGTTAGCATGTGCCTAAAATGGGCTTTTGAGGGAGTAGTAGGGTGGAAAATTAACGTTTTTATTATATTCATTGGTAAGTATAATCAGATGACCAACATTATATATACTTACAGTCCAAAATTTGCCACTGTGAGAAAGTCACTTCCGTATTGAGGCAATTTGCCAAATGTTATTTTTTTCCCATAAAGTAAAGATACACGTATTAATAAAACCAAGAAAAAAAACACGATAAAAACTCAATTGTTCGTAGGTAGCTTCGATATTACTTCCTTTTAAGATTATCTTTTTATTTTATTTTATGGGTGTTATCATCAAAGTAGGAAACTTTAAGTAGATTCAACAACTTTAGGCTAATATCCATTTCAAATGGCCTAAAATTTGTGATAAAAATGTCGTAGACTGTAGATGTTTTTCTTTTCCACATTCCATTTAACTGGTCTATTTCGGATTCAAAATCAAAAAATAAGAACCTGCAGTTTATGCAATTTTAGCACAGATTTTAGGTTTATTGTTTTCTAACGTTTTGCCAGGTTTCTGATTTAAACTGTACTATTCATTTGAGTTTGTTGATTTAACATTCACGTTAACTGTATATGTGTGTATATATATAAGCAACATTTTTCAGTATTTTCAAAGGTTTTCAAATTCCTTATTCTATACTAAATATTTGAAGATGATCTTAAGATATACACATATTGTCATCTTTCTGAATCAAGTAACATTCGACCAAACAAAAACCTTTGAAAGTGAGGTATGTGGAAATTCGTCGAACGTCAACTTCGCATCTGCACCCATTAATCCAGCTTTCTGGCCCTTGTAGATTCGAGAAGCTGTAATGGTCGACATTCCCATTCCATCACCAAGAAACATAATGAGATTTTTAGCTCTTCTGTGGTCATATTTACTAAATTTCAGGTTTTTTTTCAATGTTTTCCGAGCTTGTTGATACCAATAATTCTGTGTTGCTAGAAAAAAACAAACACAAAAACAACTTTCTGTATTATGAATACATGTACTTTGAAACCAGCATCAATTCATAGCAATTCCTTTAGTGACTAATAATCTATCCCATAATGGCTTTCTTTTTAAAACTTCTTAGCTGTAATATATGTTCTTGTTAGACAACATAATTTACTAGTGAAAACAAACAATATTTTAATGCTAGTTAAATATTTGCATAACGTATGACCAGAAAAACAAACCTGATAGCATTCGTAATTTCAATTTGACAAATAATTTTTCTCATTCACAATTTTTCTATTTTGACAAAATAGTATGATTAATAGAGAAAAGTATTAGTTGATGTATGACAATCACACTATTATGCATAGGCCTGCTTCTGAGAGATTTTTGTTTATTTAAAATGGAGATATGGTTATCCATCATCAGTTGGTTGACTACTTGTCCTTAAGGTGTTTCCATATATTCTCTTACTATAAAGATATATTTATCCACAAACAGTTTTTGATAACTTAAAAAAATGAAGACACGGTTATCCAATAATGAATAGGTTGACTAAATGTTACTAGTGTGGTTTTTTT